TGTGATGTCCTGCTTTGGCATACAAGCTTTCTAGCGCCCAACATCTAAATTCATGTAAAGGGTTCCAGAATATGGAAAAGTTAGAACTCTTAGAGAAAAAGAAACTCAACTTCCTTTAAAAATCCGATACCTCAAACCCCTAAACCCCTAAACCCCTAAACCCCTAAACCCCTAAACCCCGAAACCCCTAAACCCCTAAACCCTCAACCCTCAACCCTAAAACAAGTAAAACCCCATAAACCCCCCCCCCCCAGTCCTGGGAGCCGGCCTCCATGAAGCTCCGGGCCTCATGGCAGAACCCACCCCCCCTGAACCCTAAACCCTAAACCCTAAACCCTAAACCCTAAACCCTGAACCCTAAACCCTAAACCCTAAACCCTAAACCCTAAACCCTGAACCCTAACCCCCCCCTAACAGCTGCCCCTGCTCTTAGAGGGATTGCAGGTGAGGCGTCTTTGCGACCCAAGGTCTCAGGCCCTGACCACGCAGCTGCGGAGGCAGGTCCCATGGGCGGTGAGTAGCTCGTCCAGGGAGCATGCCTCTGTTACCTCAAAAAAAATGGACTTGGGCCTTAAGGTGAGCTTCTCAGCAGGAGCTTAAAAACTTGTGAGACCTTGCAGCTTAAGGCCACAAGCGGAACGTGAGATAGTCACTGTTGCGGTTCCTGCTACCTTTGCTCTCACTATTCCTACAAGTCTCATGTTCCCGTGCTCCTACTCGTCTTACTTTCCGGCTACTCACATCTTACTGCTCGCACTACAACTATTACTGTCTCCTCCGACTCTGACCTGCATACCACTCTTGCTACTTTTACTACTCTTTCTGCGCACCAACTACCCTCGAATCTCCCTAGCACTCCTATTGTTCCTACAACTCTTACAACGCAGAATCGCCATACTAGTTTGACGCTTTGCCTACTCTTAGCAATCATTGCTCCTGCTTTTCCTTGCAGGAGCAGCGGCTTGTCCACAAAAACTTGCTGGCATACTGTGCAGCCAGCTCAAACCACTACTGCTACCATTTACATTCACTACGGTTGAGGCTGTAAAAGATTCGGTCCGGGATTCTCAAACGACCATCCATAGCCCTTTCTAGCCTGTCAACTTTAGGGCTGGCCGCTCGTCGCTCCTTTGAGGCTGCAAGAGCTTACGAGACAAGAAGAGCTTTAGGAGGGCTGTCCCGAAGCAGTCCCCAATAAGCACCACGTCTCGAAAGCTGGTTGAACGCTTTTTTGTTGCATTGTTCTTGTAAGTCATAGTGATGGCCATAGTAACTAGTTGTAGGAACACAACTACGAGTACTGTCAGTAGTAGCTACGGCAATCGTGATCGTCAGGATGGCAATCACACCAGCAAGTTTGACAGGACTGCCAAGCACACCACCGCACGCCTTCCTCTCCAGTTGCTTGAACTCTGTGGCGACGACGTCCACCACGAGGTAGCGGTGCATTCTGAATGCAGCCAGAGCGAACTCACAGCTAGTAAGGGTGTTCGGTTTTTGGAGTTTCAGAAGTGCATAGAACTAAAGTAAGGAGAGCATTCAGAGTTTCGGAAGCGCATGGCATTCAATCGGAGACAGTCGGGGAACATTATGGTGCTCTGGAACCTCCCCCCCACCCGTAAGCAAAACGTGTATGCAAAAAGTTTGTACAACCGCTTCCAGAGTACATGAAGACGCATTGCCACACAAAACCTTGCCGTCGACCTCTTTCGCAAAGCAGCAGAAACTCAGTAGAAGCTGTGGCCACCACGTGGCTGTAAAATGGTGCAGCTCATGGCGCAGGGCGATGAGCGCAGTCCTCGGATCTAGCTGCTACCATCCCCTGGCCCTAAACCCGAAGTAAACCCGGAAAACAAGAGCAAACCTCAACACGAATCCTGCCCCCAAGAACCCAAACCAGTTGCTTGCCTTATTCAAGCCTGCAACTGGTGGACCAGAAACCCCGGAGCCAAATGTCGGCAGTTGCTGCCCAGGCTGTGGCCAAAGAGCTCCTTACAGTTTTTAACGTACATACTAGTACATACTATAGTGTCTCCAGCTCGTCATCCAGTTTTCCAGTGCAGCACGTGAGGACTCCAAACCGACTTCTACAAAGCAGGCTGAAGTTGCTAACACGCGTGAACTTGAAGTAGGGCTGCAGTTGATTCAGCAAACAAGACCCAAAACTGGAAAAATGAAGGACAAATCTAGTGTTTTGGACACATACAAAAACCTGCACCTGAGCTCCCAGCGGAGCGCATGTTGCGCCTCTGCTGCCTGTAAGGCTGGGGGTACTTCTCTTGTGCCCACTCAATTCAATGCAAGCATTTGTGAAAGCCCTAGTACTGCAGCAGCCCAAAAGTCCAGCCACCTCTCGTCACTGTTTTTCGATGCGAGTTGCAGCATCTTAGCCGGGTTTGGAAGATACATGAGGGACGTTGTGCGTGAGTTTCCGTTTCAGAAGTTCATCCGAGAACCCAAACCCTGATGCCCGCAAGCGCACATGCCCCGAAGGGTGCGGGCACATACGGTGCCTGGTGGTTTCGTCTGCTTTCTTGAAGTTTCAGGTCGTTTCGAATTATTTCCTGGAGCTGATCTGAGGGGTGGGGGGGGGGGGGGTGTTTCCGTTCCTTCTCAAATTACACAACATACTACAGAAAGATGTTTGACGTTTCTGCAGAACATGTCTTTGGTGACCATGCCAAAGCCACTGATATTTGCAGCGTTTTTGCCTCTGTATTCAACACGCTCCGTTGAAAAGCGTTCGGGTTGGTGACGGCGATGATGATGATGATGATGATGATGATGACGACGATGATGATGATGATAACGACGACGAAACTACAACAATGACAATGGGAAACCTCTTGGTAAACAATATGCATTTTTCGTGGTTTTCGTGGCTTACAAGGAGGCCTGTGCAGAAACCCAACTTTGTTGCACTTCGAAGCCCATCAAACAGCCAGGCCCCCATGAACCCAGTCTCCCGCATGTGCCGGCCTGCGCCGGTCAGACCAGCCAACGAAGCCCTTGGCATTGAGCTTGAAGGATTGGGGTTGGAGAACTTGAGATTCAGGATTCAAAAACATCTGGGATTGCGGGCGCTTTGCGGGTGGGCTCCCTGGCTTTAAAGCAGTCTTGAAAGATTTGTGGGTTTACGAAAATAGGGGACCCCTCACATCAACCTCCGAATCGTAGGATTTTCCTTATCATAAGGACCCCAAGAAGGTGCCCCCTCATTTCGAAAACCCCCAAAAAATTCGAAGTATGGCATCTCTGGGGAGGAGGGCCAGGCTTCCTTGAGGGACTCCAAGGCATGGTGCGCCAGGGCCAGGATGCGGAAGAGCCTTCCGAAGCAGAAGCTGAGGCGTTGTCGTGCTTAAGGAAGCTCAAACAAACCTTTTGCTCAAGGAAGCTAAAACAAACCGTAAAGGACCCTTTGAACTGCGAGGACTTATGACCGACTTGGCGTCTGGAGGGGCGGTAGGGTCTCGCTGCTGGCAGCAGTTTTGCAGAGTTCAGTTGTCTATCGGAAGCACCCAGCCTCGTGTACTGCATCAGTGCACGTTCAGTGAAGATCTCGCTCATGGGGAAGTCCAACTTCATTTTGAACCTGATGCACAAGAACTCTTGGCGCTCCAACTCGCAGCATCCATTAGAAGCGATGACAATGATGCACGCGGCAACAAGGCCACTCATTCGTACTTGCACGCACTGTTCCTGCACACCCTTAAGCATCCTTGCACGCAACTGGCCTCAGACCATCAAGGAAAGACACAGGCCCATGGCCTAGCAGTCGCTCTCATGGCAACAGCACAAACAATCATCGCGATGGTACAGGTGGAGTACAAACTCGGGCTGCTTTGGTTGTCGTGAAACCCTACACCCTAAGCGCAAAACTCAAAACGAACCACAGGGGGGGGGGGGGCACGCGGAACCTCAACCGCCTTAGAAGCCTCAAGGCCCAAAGCCTGATTCCAAACGGTGGGGTGGGCATATATACACATGGAATACGGAGTAGACTGAGACATGGGGCATAGCAAGTCTCATACTCATAATGATGCGCGACTGTCTCGTCGCAGCTCACACTTGGCCCAAGCCGGGCCTAGCAAGGAAGGTGCTGGGTTCAGCTGCACCATGAGACGGCTCAGCAGCGCGTCGTCCTAGGGGGATTCCGGCTAAGCTTCCGGGTTAGAGGTTGGATAAGTTGAGGGTGTTAGGGGGCTGCAGAAAAGGGTGGCATGTCACACAGGCACAAGTTTCCAGAAGCCATGGGTTGGAGAAATAGGTTTGCTTAAACGACCGCCTTCATGGTGCTTCCAAGGGGAACGTACTACAACCCAAAGGTCCTCTGGAGCAGCAGGGCGAGGAACCGCCGACTGGAAGAGAGCGTTGAGTGCCTCGGAGGAAACGAAAAGGCCAGGCCTCGTCAGGGCCTCAAGGGCCTCTCGCCTTTCTTGCAAAATTGTCGGGACGTGTTTTTTGGGGCCCTCGGCTACCTTGGGCCCTTGGTGCCGTGTGGGTTTCTTTTCGGAGGGCTTGTGGGTCGTGTGGGGCTGACTTGGGGCTGTCATGACATGGGCATCGGTACGGGACCAAAGCACAAAAGCCTCCAAGCCTGGGAGTCCGGACCCCCTCCACCACAGCGGCCTGGCAACAGCAGAGGCAACAGCAGACCCACGATAGCCTCATTGAAGGGCCAGAGCATTGGGGCAGCGCCATTTCAAAGCAGCACAAGCACCCGGGCTTCTGCACTGATAATAGCCGAGAGGCAGCACGTTTCAACAAAGGCACACCGTGGCGCCATCCAACGACATCTGCGCTGTTATGATGTCATGAAACGACCGAATGAACTTTACAGTTGCTTGGCTATGCATTCCCAGAATCGCCGAGCTGGGCTGTACACGACATTGGGCGGGGGCGGCTGAACTGTACATGACCAGCGCCCCAAGAGACTGAGACCTGTTGACAAGCACTGCTCTTCAGGACGAATTGGCGAGTGAGAGTTGACCCTCGCATAGCTATCTTCTTTCACCCAGAAGCTGGAGCATGTAGAGGAAGAAGTTCAGAAAATCCAGGTACAGGTTGAATGCAGCAAAAGCATACATGTCAAGCGTGTACTCAATGTTGCGCTTGCCTCCGCCAAAAGCGGCAGAGGCAGAGCCGAAGATTAGCTGGGTGTCATAGACAATGATGAAACCGAACAGCATGGCTCCAACTCCAGCGATGATCTTATTGACGACGACGCTGCCTGGGAAGAAGGAGTACACAAGGATGAGCATGATCAGCCCCAAGATCATAACCATGATGTAGGCACCACAGCCTGTAAAGTCCGCTTGGGTGCGCACGGCGTAGATCGTGAGGGCGATGATGAGCACCGCCGTGAGCGCAAAGACGAGCACCACCGACTGCGCCTTGTACTTTGCACAGATGAACCCCACCAGCACACCGAAGCACAAGGAGAAGGTGGTCAGGTACAAGTAGTTCCAGGGTGCCGTCTTCATCATGCGGAAGTAGCTCTCAATGAGGCCAGTGCCACCGCAGCACATCTGGCAGGACATGGCCAAGTCGAAAACCAGCTGGGCCAGGAAGACCGCGCCGACGATGTAGAGAATCCAGACATGCTGGTGAAAGAAGTTCAGGGTCGGCTGGGTGGCGAAGACAAAAGGCAAGCTGATCCCGAAAGTGATCACCACCATCATCCCAAGGATGCCGTAAACTTTCTTCACGAAGCCGAGCCGGATCTCTGGGGGAAGCTGAGCATCTCTGCAAGCTAGCTGCGCGACCTCCAGGTGCTCCGGAAAGGCCGGCTGTGGCACGGGATGGGGCATGGCGCTGTGCGGGTGCGGCTGTTCGATGTCCACCGGCCTGCCCACCACCTGGAGCTTGAGAAAGGTTTCTGAGTCGGCTTCCCGATACAAGGGGTACCCATTTCCGAGGTTTCCTATAAGGATCACAGCCTTTTGGGCACTGAAGGGGACACCCCATCTTGGGAAGTAGCCATTTTAATGGCTAAGTTAGGGTTGCAAAGTTCCAATCCCCCCAGCTTTCGAAGATTCGGGTTCCCAAAAAACAGCTGTCCAACCCACGCCTTGCCCTGAACCACGGGAAGCGGTGCAGCCATGGCGTCGGTCCGTCTGTTGGCCTGCAATCAGCCCCTGTCCTCAAGCCAAGTCTTGGCATCGGAGTGGACACATGTCGGGCATACGCACAAGCGGGTACAAAACCAACATGCAACCGCGCTCCGCATCTTCCGGAGGTTGGGCCGAAGGGCCTCTACCGAAGTTCTTCATGGGGACCCCTGCAGGGCCTCCTCATAGGTGGCGTGCCCAGCATAAAGGAGGATGGCCTGCGGATCCCAGAAGGAGCTTGGCCGATCTTTGGTGCTCTGAGCTCGCGGATGCCGAAGGTTCGGGGTATAGGGCTGTACAGGCGGGAAGAAGGGTAGGGACGCAGTTTTTGTCTTTCAGGGGTGGCGCAGGGGGCCTGGCAGAAGTCTGCACCACGCACCAAAGGCTGGAGGTTGGGTTTTGGAAGAGCTGAGAGCAGGACTTTAGGCACCGACAGAAGAATCTGGTGTAATTCAGGGAGCTCGCTTGCCTAGACGAGCCCCGGAAGGTGCTTGAAAGTGCTCTTGAAAGTGCTTGGACGTGATTTTGAAGATTCATGGTTGAAGGGCATCGAGTTGTTTACAGCTTTAGCCCAACCTGTGCAAAAAGCCTGCAAACTCAGGGCAAGAGCCTTCGAGATGAAGGGCTCCAGCAGCCGCGACCTGCAATTTAACTTTTTGCTTGCTGCTTACAACCCACATTCATCTGTTCCGCTAGTGCGGAATAAGCCCTGAGCCAAGGGGGTTTGCAAGGATCGAGACTGAGGGCTTTCTCCTGCTCTACAAGTCTCGTTCGAGCGGCTTCTGGGCTAACTTCCGCCCATGTTCCCTGCCTCTTTCAGGGTTAAACAAAGGCTTCGGCTTGCTACTGTCATCTCATGTCTCGCCAGTCCATACTGGCCACTAGCTCTTAAGCCCATGCTGAGCGCCAGAGGCATCAGAACTTTCAAGAGGATTTGCCGGATGTCGATCTTAGGTCAGGACTTCTTGGGGTGGATGTATAGAAAGCCTACACCCCGCAACCTTAGGCCGCCGAAAAGAACGAGGGAGGCAGAGACCGCGGCTCGCCCATCAAGAGGTAGCGCTGCAGCCTCTTGTGGAGGGCAATGCAGACCACTTGACTCTGAGGGCGCGAGAGGAGGTTGCAATCTCATGTGAGGTCACTTGACTTCTACCGTCACCTTGTTCTTCACTTCGCGGATATCGCTACGGACTGACAGCTGCCTCAGCTACTTAGGGTCTAGGGCTGCCACAGCTTCAAGTGGCGCGGGAGACCGAGCTCGAAGACCTCCGTGGAGAGAAGGGGTCGAGAATCCCCTGCTCTGGAAGGGGGCCCGCGAGGCATCACGTGCCAGTGCGGGGTACACCCATCAACGGGCAAAGGCTGAGAGCGCACAAGCCAACAAAGGTACAGGCAGGCACATGGAGGCTTTACTCAGCCCTGCACCAGCTTCCTGACCACTGCCTTCTCCACCCTCGGTGCCAGGAGATCAGTTCAAGAGCAAGCGCATTGCAATCCTAAAAGCCGTGCTGGAGCTGCCAAGACCACTCCAGGGGAGCATTCTAAGAGAGCCCTTCTTAAGGGGCCAAAAGCGGCAGAAGAATGCGGGGACCGCGAGACAGAAACGAAAAATCCCCTGCTGGACACAAGAAGCGACCCCATCCAGCCCAAAACGCAAACTAAACGCTTGCGACTTTTTCACGACACGGAGCGGTGCAAGCCTCAACGCACGGGACCTAGACGGCAGAACGATTTCGATTGCGGAACCTGCCAGGGGCTTAAGCGGGAGCGGGACTTGGCACCTTCCATAAGGCCAAAAGCTAAACCCCCTTGCCTTTTAGGGCGGCCGACACCTACTGGGACCACCGATGTCCAAAATCAGTATGGAAACCAGGGGCGACTCCGATTTTTTCAAATCGGGGCTACTTATCTTCGCTGCTTAACAAAACAAGCAGCTCGTAGCCTTAAAGAATGATCTCATGCATTAGTCTTGTATTATGTGAGTCGATATTCGTTCCGCAAGTACATGATTCTGCTACTATGGCTAACATAGCTAGAGGTCAACTTGGACTTTGAAGTATGAGTTTGTGAGTGCCGGGAAAAATGGCAGAGAATGAAGGACAGCTACTGTGGCGGCCGATGCCCAAGATGATTCTTATAAACAGGGGCGAACTTAGATTGTGTAATGTGGAAATCTGTTTGATAAGAAAACACAGCTTGTAGCTCTTAACAAAGATCTCATTTCCTCAGTGGTTAGATATGAGTTCCCCCAAGTTAAACAAATACATGGCCTCCCGGTATTTACATGTACATGGTCACCCCCATCCAGATCCACGCCCACATCTGTTTGAGTTAATTTGAATTAAAACGTGTGCTCCTCTCATTCATGAAACGAAGATGCTGGAAGTGCTGCAAGTACCAGGCTTGCCTTACGCAAACTACTGTCGTTGTGGAGGCTTCTGAGATAGGACTTGTTGAGAATTCAGTAATCGGCAGAATTGGTCGAAACCTGTTACGTACTTTGAGGCTCCAGGCACCAATATTTTGGGAACTGTGCACCACTTGAGAGGCTTCTAGTTCTAAGCACAGTACAGCGGCGACAGGGTGCATTTGGGATGCAATGTGGATCTCAGATGCTTAGAGGAACTGCGTTGCCGTTTCTACATCACAGCTTCTAGCATGCGGCCTGAGCGTACAAAGCTGATGCAACGTCTTGCACATGCAGACTCAAAACAGAAGCCACGTGCAGAAGCCGTAAGTACAGACACAGAGCCTCGCTTCGACTGGGTGCAGTTTTGCCCCCTGCTTTTCGGAACGATTCCATACGCAACTGACTTGCTGAATAAGCGTTCAAAAGCACGCTCAAATGATGTTCAGAACGATGCTACAAAGAAAGCAACATCAACACAGATGCTAAGAGCGAAACGGCGAAACAAAAAATGAAAAACTTGTGCTGAACGTCATGAACAAGACAAACGATGTCCTTCACACATTGTCTCAGTAGAGCGAAATCATTTCAACACACACCGTTTGATAGACTCCTGGCCGGCTTTGGGGGAAGAAATGCCGACCTGACATTGACCTGAAGTGCTGCCATGCCGCTACGCGCGGCGAGGCAAAGTTTGCGCTCTGGGCAAATGATCAAGTCTACGCCCGGATCTTAGGCGGAGCTTGTGTAAGGCTTTAAGCCTCCCGATAAGGCAAACAGAAGACACAGCATTCACGCTCTGAGGCCCCCTGCCACTGTGACTGAATGCGGAGCGGTCGGATGAGGCAGTTCCTTAGCTGGTGGTCGACATCTGCCACAGGTGCTGGCGACTGTCATGGGCTTGCAACCTATCGCGTGCATCATGTCAGGTGGACAGGACTTGCAAGCTTACGTCATGCCAGCCTTCGGACGCGATAGGTTCGGACTTGAGGCTTTGGGGTTGAGAACGAAGGCCGAAAGACAAGCGCAACCCTGCTATGACCTTCGAAGGCCTGAAGCCCCAACAGCCCCACGCAATCGTGGTGTTCTGGGGCACTGGCTCCAGGCTGACCTCCAGCGGCACGCCGCCACTCTTCCGGATCATCTCCGCATCCTGAGAACATGAGGTACAAGGCTGCAGAAGTATGCAGGACCTAGGGCCGTATGTCAAGGTTCTGCATGTGGCGAAGGTAGACCCCTCAGACTCTGTGCGCTTTGAGGCTTGACAGTACGTTGACACGAGAAAAGCACGTAAGGGCTAACAGAAACGTGCTTTCCCTTCTGTTATGGACGTTCAATGTTTGGGGTTTTCCGGTTATGCTCATGTTCATGCTGATGCTTGTGCTTACCCAAGAAGTTGAAGATTTGACCCTAAAACAGTTTCATGTCAGGTACCGAGAGCTGGAAACTAGCTTCAGAATCTTAAGAATAGGACAACACGTTTCCTTGTGGAAACAACCGCTGAACTCTTCACGCTTCGTAATCCACCCAAGGGTTTAGGGGGATCACGTGGAGAGCGTGCCTCTGTGATGGTCGTAGACACGTCCTTGTGGTACAGGGGTGGTCTCTCCTGAGTCTGAGTGCTGCTTAGGCATCTCTAGCTGCCTTCCTTTGTTGCACCGACGACACCTTCAAGTGGGATGGACCACTGGGGCCGCGGCTGAGAGGGCGAACTCCATCGCAGAATCCTGGCGATCGGCCTTCTCCTGATCTTGCATGGCTGCATCCTTGATACACTCTGTTTCCAGCCGCTCAGGCGGTTCAGGCCCACCACGGTTGAAGGATGCAAGGCCTGCCGCAGGCTGGGCGATCCTCGTAGCCGCCGTAGCCCCCATGGTGGGCCCCATGGGCTCTGAGAGCTGTGCAAGTTCTGCTGCCTGGGAATAGACACTTTGTAGCACGGCCCTTGCGAGGAGCCTGAGGCTCTGGTGACTTTGGTGTTCCTCCCACTCCTCCCCTGTTTCTGCCTCTGCCATCTGGTCGTCCGGATTCTGGGCAAGACCCGCGCGCGACAGGGCCATCGCTGCCAGGCTGCCGGGACGCTGGCGCCAAGCATTGCTGCTGCTGGGTGTGGACTTTGCGCTCGCTGCCGTCCCAGGGGAACCCCGCAGGCGCTGCAGCTTCCAGCGCAGCAGCTGTTCCTCCTCCGTGGCCTGCTGCATCCGTTCGCGGTGCGCCACTTCTAACGCATCTCGTGCCTCCTGCAAGGTTCTGGGCGAGGGCGGCCGCAGAATAGCCAGCTGCTCGTCAGGGCGTGCCTCCTGCGTTTGCAGACGCCGGGCGCGCTCCGCAGACTGTTCTGCCAGCTGCGCATCCAAAGCAGCCTTGTACTCTTGCTGGGCCTGCTTCTGCTTCAGCTTAGCATCCAAGCTTGCACTTGGGGTCCGCGGCGTGGGCTGTTGGACTTCGACCTGGAGGGTCTCAGGAGCCCTTCTGAAAGCACGTGGACCTGGGATCTCCCTGCTGGCTTCGAGTTTCGGTGGTGGAGGCGGGAGGGAGCCACTTTGCACGGAGACGCAAACTCGGAAGCCCGTGCTCCGGATCGGCGAAGGTGTCGGCCAAGCATCGCCTTCCTGCCTCGACAAGCCGAAGTGGTCGTCTGACACAAAAACACTCGCTTCGCGACCCACGCTGCCAAAGTACCTTTCTGCGGGGGGGTCGCTGGCTTCTTCTGCATGTGCCGCCTCGACCCAATCCAAGATCCGCAGCTTCAGGGGCAGCGTGGCCAGAGGGCCGCCGACTGAATTCAGGAACTCCGGTACTGTCATGCTGCGCCCTCGTCCATCCTCGCCTCGCACCCGTGCTGTGAGGCTCTGGAGGAGCGGCTGCAGGGAGCGTTGCAGGAGCCATAGGGGCACCAGGTCCACGGACGCCACAGACATGGGCCCTGGCGATTGGCCCGGGCGGCTGCAGGCTTGCCACTGCAGAGCGGACAGCTCCTGGGCACGGTAGAAACTCACGAGCCTGTCCAAGAGCTGGCCTTGTGGGAGGGTCCCCAGTGTCGCTGGCGCTGGGTGGCGTGCTGGGCTGGCTTGCTTGGAGAGGGCCAGCACCTCCTGCAGCTGCCGCAGCCAAGGTTGCAGCTTGATCCAGAACTGCAGGAAACTGGCATTTTCTCGAAGAGCTGCGGACAGCTTCCCATCAAGTACATTCAGAAGATCTCGGTGAACATCGCCTAGTGCTTGAACTGTTGGGTTTGCGCCACGCCTGAGCGTGGCAGACAGCTGCCTGAGTCCGAGACACCTGCTGCAGATATCTGCCCATTCTTTCAACAAGGCGTGCTCAGGACCCACTGCGATGCACTGTACCAGGCCATTGCAGACCTTGAAGCACCGAGATGAAACGCCATGAAGCGCAAGCCAAGCAAAGCGAAGTGTCTGGGAGCCTGCTGCTTGCTGAGGCATTGAGGCCCCGGTGTCATGCGACACACGAGCATCCAATGCCCACATCGTACTTTTCCACAAATGCTCCCACTGTCTTGGCCGTTGGCCCACATGGGAAGCACCAGAAGAATCACCAAAACCGAGCGCCGGCACAGAGTGCTCGAGGCACGGAGGCTCGCTGTCCGGCTCCGGAAAATCTGGTTTCGTCCTCTGGGTCCTCTGGATTGCCATATCTCCCAAGGCTTCTGGAGGTTCTCCCGGATCCCGCTTCCGTTCTCCTTGCTTAGGGCCATCGAAAAAACCTGATGCCTTCACCTCCACAACATCCTGGACTTGGACTTTCCTGTGGCTCTGGCGCATTGTTGGAGCTTCTTCGGGACCACTACAGCGATTGCCACGGGCAAGGTCCTGACCCACATGCCCCACCAAGTGGTGTTGCAGCTCCCGCTCCATTTCTCTCCCCGGCGTTCGCAAAAAGCCCGCGGCTGCTTTAGTGCTGGACATGTGGCCAGTCTCATACAATACCTGCCGTGACACAGCGCCGAGGCCCGGATCCAAGTCCAGCTTGCCACTGAGAAGAAACAAGACCTTCAGCACGGGCTCGACGTCCGGCTGCTCTGGACCAAGTCGTCCAGCGAGAAGCTCCAGTGAAGTCGCAGCTGCAGGGCGGCCCATGCTGCGCAGATGCCAAAGCAACACGAGCAGCGTCTCTGCGGCCGCGTACGTCTTCACAGTCTTGCCGCATGTGGTGCGTTGGAGGAAGTGCTCCCAGGCTGGACGTGCGTCAGAAGCCCCCAGTGAAGCAGCCAAGGCATTCACCAGAGTCACGGCAGAGCCTTTCGCGCAAGATGCTTGCATCCAGATGTCAGCCGCTCCTCACCTCCTCGACTCAAAAATCCACCATTCTGCCTCTCACTACAATCTTAAACAACTCTTGCTTCGAACTGCAACGAGTAACTCTACGAATTTCATTTAACCGATTCTGCTACAGTGATGCAAGAGCCGGACGAATACAAATGTTGTGGGGTCTTCGCAACGGCCGTGAAGTCTCGTGGCAGCACAGACGGCTCAGAAATTCGGGCTGTCGGGCTGTAGTCAGGTCTTCCAGTAACAATAGCACATGGTTTCCTGAACTCTCAGAACAACCCTGGCAATTGACCAGCTGCACACGTCTGAGGGCTTAGAATCCGAAAACCAGCAGCCGTTTCTGCATCGCGCAGAGTCTTGGAGAATCTTGCTAGCATTAATCCTGAACAGGCCTCGGCCCCAAACCTGGTGCTACCACAACTGCGTTGTGGTTGTCGATCTGCGTCCGTGTGACAAACCCCAAACCCTGAAGCAAACACGTCACAGTGGGCTAAGGATCGTTAAGGCTGAAGATGTTTGAATCTTTTTGGTCTCCAGGCAAGCTCTGGAGAAGTTTTGAAGAAGCACGGACGCCTGCTTGTGTCATTAAAGCTCCTCAGGGGCTCTTCGCAGGACTGTGGGCAAACTGGCTCGGACGAACTCCAGCACAACGCTGTCGACCCTCGTCTCGCCCGCCTGCCTGTCGTTGAGAATGTGATGCCAAGCATCTTCAAAATCTTCCCACCTCAGCTTAGTGGGGGGGCCAGCGGAATCTTCAGAACAGTTCGGCACCACCAGCGACAGCACTTCAGTTTCATTCAGGACGAAGAAGGGCGCATGCGAGATGGCCATGTTGGTCTCCATCTTGAGCTTGCAAATGCGATGCCGGCCATCGATCATTCGAAACCGAGATGCGCAAGGATTGAGGGCGCCTTCTGCAACAATGCCTGGCACCAGGGGGCATGCTCTCTCCCAACGGCCTTCATCCATCACATCGAAATCGGGGTCGTCGCAGTAGGACCCTGTCGCATCTTCCAGGCCTGAACTCCCTTGATGGTGCATAGGTTTGTGGCACACTTCTAAAACGGAAATGACCTTCGGATCCCGTGGTTTCCTTAAAAGCATCTCCACCACGTCATGGATCCAAATGCAGCTGTCTTCCTCGGATGCCACACCATCCAAGGCCAAATGCCAAGGCTTCTGGACAGTGTGAAAACTGCGCAGCCATCTTTCAAAGTTCGGCTGCCTGTTGCACTCAGGCCATTTCGTTAAATCCTGTTTTTGCGGCCTTGTGAGCATCCAACCTGCTGGCACTGCTGGCAGCGCTTGACCCGAGCACAACAAGCAAAGCCCAGCGATGGCAAGAATTCTTGCCTGGCACCGAAACCAGAGGTGCATGTCACGCTGGCTCGGATTCCATGCCGGATCCGATGGCTCAAGATATACTTGTTATCTACACATGTACATATACATGTACCTTTACGTATGAATGTACATAAACATATACAAACACACACACACACACACACACACACACACACACACACACACACACAGACACACACAAGTACAAAAACATATACATGCACACATGCATATATTCACATCTGCAAAAATACAAATACACAAATATACAATACACGTATGCACAAGAATAAGTACACATATATGTGTATATCTACATACACATATACATGTATACGTACATACGTATAGACATATGTACATACATACATACATGCATGCATGCATACATACATACATACATACATGCTTTAGGGTGTATTTGGCCCTGGGCTTGGCGACAGAGGCGGCCATGTACGGTTTAATGTGGTCTCCTGATTAGTGTGGCCCCCCCCCCCAAACTAATTCCGCCCCCGCAATAGTAATAAAAAGAAACGGGACGCCAAACTAATTTTCGGCCCCGGGCCCCCCCCCACCCCCGGCTCCTCTTCATTTCCTCTTGGCTCCTCTTCCCTGTCCTCTTCCGAAACCCATGCCCGAGAAACTTTTCATTATAGTGGGGGGGCAACCAAATCTTTGTCCCCTGAATTATTTTTTGAAAACTTTTCATTATTGACGGGGTCCACACTAATCAGGATACAACATTAAAGACCTTTCAGAATTTCCCGGCAAAAAAACCCTTAATTTTGCTGGTAAATACGTGATTCTCCCGAGCCGATTTAGAGACACGCGCATGTAAATTCGAGGCCCTGCACTTCCTGTCGGTTTCTGTCGATCTTAGTGGGTTCAAGGGTTGGGGGGGGTATCCAGTGGCCTGCTGCCCTTGCATGAACAATGGAAACAGTGAACAGTGCTGAAAATCACAGCAAGTCGTGGCTGAAGGGCATGGATGAATGTTGCAAAACACCTTTTCTTTTTGAGAGGCTGCAGCACTTGATAAGGAGATAGATTCTCAGCTACACCGGCTGAGGAGGGCTGAACTCCGAGCCCAATAGTGGAGCGGAGAGGCGAGGAATCCACTGTCTCTGTGCAGTGGCATAAGTGACAGCAAGAATGGCCCCAAGGAGGCCCAACAGCCACGGGACAGTAATTGCCACATTCTCCTGCACTTGGACCGGCCAATCATGCCCAGCAAAGAGGACGGTCATGTTTCGGACAGCAGCTGCAACCGTCTTATCTGCATGCTCCAGCTCCGAAGAGGGGCTCTTCGGGCTCTGACCCGCGATGAACGCAAGGGGCGCAGAGTCAATCTTGGAGCAGCTTCGAAAACCGATGGCAGCCTTGGAGGCAGGCCTCCCTTTCTTGAGCCAGCAGTCCGTCTCTCTAACCACAAAGGTGTCGCAACCTGCTTGCTGGCTGCATAAATCGGCACACTCCTGATCAGACCAGGCCTTGCGAGGGCTGTTGGCGAAATCTCCGCCTGGATTGTTCACGTCCGCTGTGCATACGTAGCCCCGCGGAGCTCCCCTCGTGCACGATAAACCGGTGGAAAGGTAGAGTTCAGTGCGGAAAAGCTCACCCAGCCAACAGGTGTTGTTTGGATTCCACGACCAGTCTAGGAGCACAACGTTGCACCAAGATCTAGCATCACACAAAGCTTGACACTTTGGCAGTGCGGGGTCTGGCAAATCGTGCCACTCTTCTTTAACACCGGCCATGCTCCCAACGAAAAATCTCCCATACTGGCAGGAGTAGCCCCGACGATCAGGCGGCGCGGTGATTCGGCTGCAGGCGACTGCGTCTCCAGCTGCCTCAGGCTGCGGCTCTTGAAAGTAATAGTCGCAGAACCACGTATAGACGCCCAAAGTCGACTTCCCCTTCCACATACTCATGGCAACACAGCCTTGCACGGAGTTGCAAATTTGCAAACAAGTTTGCTTGGAAGCCTCACTCTGATGCGTAGTGTAGAATTCAGGACGCTGCGGCTGTTTCGTACCATTGTCGGCAACATACCTATGCCCAGAGAGACATTTCCACCCGTAGGTACTGAAGCTATCCACTACCTTCCGGTACTCATGTCGTAAGGCTTCTGCCTTGAACCAGGTCCAGTTGTCGCTCTTGATTTCCATCTGCCGATCCAAGATATCTTTCTCACCGAGAGCTTGAACCCGAGTCAGCTGGCTTACGATTCTTCTTTGTAGCGCCTCTACATCCTGCTCGGCAACCTGCATCCCTGCCACGTTGTGAGAGTTTTTGGCGTTTCCTGCCGATTCCTTGAGTGAGACCAGCTGGGCTTGTTCCTTGGCTAGCGCGTCCAAGGTGCCGGAGCTGATGTCTTCAGGGTCAAACTTGGACCACACTTCTTTGCCTAGTCCAGCCACAATGTCCCGCACCTCGACCAAATCCAGCCAGCCTTTGAGCACCACAGAGACTGCCGTGGCATCCGACTGGAATTCCTGGTACCAGTCCTGAAAAGCTGCATACATGGCAGAGGGCCTCCCGCATGCTTGCCGAGCGCTCCCATCCTTTCCATCGAAATACAACTTGCAGGTAACCTCAGTGGTTGAATGAGGGAAGTAGGTATCTTACATTCCCCTGTAGTACCGGATCATTTATGGTACCTAACGCCCTAGTTCCCTACAAAGAACCAGCCAGGAACCTGCGTGTCACTGGTTGACTTGGACTCCAGGGATTCGAAAGAGGCACTGCCTTCGCCTGATGCAAACACAGTTTTCGCAGAAAACTTCGCGAAGGCATCCATGGACGACTTGCCGGACACTTCTGTAGCATGAACCTCATAGTTGCCCAGGAACGAACCGCCATATTTGATTTGGTAGATGTAGCGCATCCCAAATTGCTTCAGGAACTGATCCGGATCCTGTTTCAGCATCGCTTTGCTACCATCGCTCAATTTCTGCATTTGGAAATTCCGAATGGTCATTTCATATGACATGCAACCTCCTGCATAAATGAAGAAAGCGATAGACTGCTCCGACACGTGAGAAGACTGCAAGGCCTTCATGCCACCCGACAGATGCACGCCCCAACCGCCTCCTTCAGCAGAGATGACGCTATCTGTCATGCTGTCATAATCAGCCATTTTCTTCACATCCTGCAACAATATTTGGCAATGGCTCGTGATGTGTGTTTTGATCACACAGGCCTCCCCTTGCTGCGCTTTGTCGCATGGTGGCAGTGGCAGGATTGGATTGGCCACCTTACACGTGCGCGAGAGATCATATCCGTTGCCCAGCGCACAGTTGTCCTCGAAAGGCAAGGTCATGTCATTCGCAGCTAGGCAGAGATGAAACACAAACAAACCGTTTGCCAGCTGGGCTCCGAAGAGCCGGCGGCATGACGGAGGCATGGATTCCGCGACGGGCAAAATTGTGGGCCGTTTTCGTGGCACCCTGACCCCCTAGCCCCCTAAACCCCCTTGAACTCGAAACCCGAATAAAATCATATACCAAGATCGAACTCCCAAGAGGGCCCATCATGCTGACCACAACCCTAAATCCCGGAGGGCCCATAATTTTGACCCACCCCCACGTGACTATCTTCAACCTCTGAGGACCTCTTGGGCTGCAGGAACCTGGCCACAATGTCATGTCGCCTGACACTGCCCCTTGAGGGCCTTCGGGTTTAGGGGCGGGGTTAGGGTTTATAGGGTTTTTCGGGTTTATAGGGTTTATCGGGTTTATGGGGTTTATATGGTTTGTAGGGTTTGCAGGGTTGAAAGGGTTTGTAAGGTTTATAGGGCTTATGTGCGCCTGGGGTTTTGGGTGGGGTTTTGGGTTTACGGTTTTAGGGTTTAGGGATTTGGGGTTTGGGGTGTTAGGGTTTGGGGTTTATGGTTTAGGGTTTCGGGTTTAAGGTTTAGGGTTTAGAGTTTAGGGCTTAGGGCTTAGGGCTTAGGGCTTAGGGCTTAGGGCTTAGGGTTTAGGGTTTAGGGTTTAGGGTTTAGGGTTTAGGGTTTAGGGTTTGCCGTGATGTGGCGTACAAGCTGTGAAGGTTGGGATGCAGACTCGCTTCAACAGCTTCGTGAGATGCGAAGAATGGACCGATCGTGGAAGTTTCGGGGATCTAGAGTTTATGCAGTTGGGGTCTACTTTTGGGGGTCGTGCCTGCGAAACCGAAGCACAGGGTCCCAAGAGACCCTCACATCACACAAAACCAAAGCCTCAAAACACTACAAGCCCTGAACCCTGGCCGCCGACAACTTGCAACTCTAAACCTCTAAACCCCGTTTTTGGGAATCGGCTGAAGAGAGTTTAGGATGTTAGGGCATGAGGTTTCTGGGCTTCGATTTTCGACACAGGGTTTTAGGGCTTGGGAAGTCAGAAACGAACCCCCGATACCCCCTATAGCTGAACATCCTGGGAGTCCGATTGGGCGACTCGATCCAGGAGGCTGGCCGAGACCATAAACCCCCAGATCTTCCAAAACCCCTGAATTAAGGTATACTGTACGTACTGTATACCCTAATGCCTAAATAAGGATCCTTAGTATAAGTTAGGGCATATTCCTTTATTAAAGGGTTTTTGTTAAAATCTGGGAAGCTACCAACTGCGCATTGTTGACTTTGGCTTCGTTCGCACTCGAGCACTCGGCCTGTCTCTTCAATGACCGTGAGGACACCCCAGTTCAGACACTCGCCGGAAATCTTTGTTTCCATCGTGCCATCATCTCAGTCATAGACCTTGTCATAAATCTTTTGGTACATGTAACGCAGATCGAAGCCGATTCTCACGAGCCAGAAGCCGACAATCAGAGCCACACTGGCCACAATGTGGGGTGGCTCCCCCTTCAGAGCCTTCATCGTCTGGGCCACGAGGTAGCACACGATGGACATCGGAAAGCTTAGGTCCTTCAGGTATCGGAAGCCGAAGCTGGTGCCCATGATGCGGACGGGATCACGGGGGGTCACCAGAAAGCCCGCCGAGCCCGGCAGTTGGCGCAAGTCAACCTCAGCCTCAATCTCTTCGCCATCGGCTATGAGGCCTGCGGATCGGAGGTTACTCACGAAGTCCGCATCACTGCGCATGACGGCGCTTAACGCAGCCTTGATGGTCTTCATCCGCCTGCCTTTCAGACTCTTTAGATTTCGGGTCACGGGCTCAACAGCAGCGAGGCACATGTTTTGCCATTTGCCAGTTGCGATCTGGTTGGCAGCGCGCAGATGCGTTGCACATGCCATAGTACCGCAAATAGCAATGTAGAGGCATGAGCCTTCAGCATAAGCCAGCATGCACACATACAGGAACTCGCACATCCAGTGGCACTCCTGCCAATCCTTTCCACTGAATCCACTGAAATCGGCCGCCACGAAGCCAGCCAGGAACGTGGTCACTGATACCAAGGTCAACATTCCGTTCATGGTTGGGCATTCCTGAACTGAGAAGTCGAACTGAACAGTCACATCGTCCGCATCCTCAAACAGCGAAAATATTTGCACTGAGTTGCAACGGCGAATGCCGGCCTGGCCATCTGACAGCACCCGCTGCACCAACTCATCTTCTAGAAGCACCGTTCTGGCATCGTCAGCTACCATGCTACTCACCCGAGCTGTCTGAGAGGGTAAAAGTTTAGGGTTTAGAGTTCAGGAAAGTGCATGTGAGCTTGAAGCAAGTGGCGTTGCAAATGCATCTGTGTGACAGATGCAAACAACACTGCCATCTGCATGCAAGCGAAGCTCATTTTCATCACGAAGGGTGTGAACCCTAAGCCTGAAGCTTAAACCCTAAAGGCCAATGCCCGCAAGCCTGAAACAGTTCTGGAACAGCATACACCCTGAACCCTACACCCTTAAAGCCTAGAAACCGCCCAGAACCCTAAACCCCCGAAAGCCCTGAACCCTGAAACGCTAAAGCCCCTGAAGCCTTGAATCCAAAATCCCAAAACCCTAAACCCACAAATCCTGAACCACGAAACCCTAAACCAGTAACCTCTAAACCCTAACCCTAAACCCTAAGCACTAAAACACCTCAACCACTGAACCTTTCGGGGCCTTGCAGTGAGGGACCGAGCCGCTAGACACGGGGTGGAGGGGGCTTCTTGTTTGCCTCCAAACAAGTACCCCCCCCCTTTTTGAAGTGGCCTGAACAACAACCCCCCCCCCCTTCTTGTTGGTACTCCCCCCCCCTTTGCCCCCGCCCTCCCTACGACGACGACAACAACCACTCCTACGACAAGGATGAAATTCAAATTTAAGCCCTCCCTGGATTGAGCGCAGCCCCCGCATCCCGACGGCTTAAATTCGAATTAAAACCTCTGAACCAAGCAGCAGCCAGGACCCGCCACGAGAAGGATTCAAAATTCGAATTTATGCCCTTTTCTGGATCATGGCTTAAATTTGAATTTTAACCGTCTTTGGCTGAAGGGTCTACGGGCCCAGGCGCTTCAATTTTTGCTCAGTCTCAGGTGTGCCGTCTGGGGGTCTGCGGGTCTAGCGGGTCTAGAGGGTCTCAGGGTGGAGGTCGAAGGGTCTAAAGTCTAAAGCGTCCAAGGGTTTGCAATCTGCGGGTTAGGGTTGGGGCCTATCGGGCGCTGGTCTCTGGGGCTTCGGGTTTAGGTTCAGGGCCTATTGAGATGCCGTATCCTCACCCATACACCCTAAATCCTCCCAACCCTGAAGCTGCAACCGAAACCCGAAATCCAAAGGGTCCGGAATTAGTTAGGAGTAGAAGTCGTCGTAGTAGTACTAGCAGTAGTAGTAGTCGTAGTCGTAGTCGTACTCGTAGTCGTAGTCGTAGTCGTAGTAGTAGTAGTAGCAGCAGCAGCAGCAGCAGCAGTAGTAGTAGTAGTAGTAGTAGTAGTAGTAGTAGTAGTCGTCGTCGTAGTCGTCGTCGTACTACTAGTAGTAGTAGTAGTAGTAGTAGTAGTAGTAGTAGTAGTAGTAGTAGTAGTAGTAGTAGTAGTAGTAGTAGTAGTAGTAGTAGTAGTAGCAGTAGCAGTAGCAGTAGCAGTAGCAGTAGCAGTAGCAGCAGTACTTGTCGTAGTACTAGTAGTAGTAGTAGTAGTAGTAGTAGTAGTAGTAGTAGTAGTAGCAGCAGTAGTAATAGCAGTAGTAGTAGCAGTAGTAGTAGTAGTAGTGGCAGTAGTAGCAGTAGTAGCAGTAGTAGCAGTGTAGCAGTAGTCGTAGTCGTAGTCGTAGTCGTAGTCGTAGTAGTAGTCGTAGTCGTAGTCGTAGTCGTAGTCGTAGCAGTAGCAGTAGCAGTAGCAGTAGCAGTAGCAGTAGCAGTAGCAGTAGCAGTAGCAGTAGCAGTAGCAGTAGGAGTAGTAGTAGTAGTAGTAGTAGTAGTAGTAGTAGTAGTAGTAGTAGTAGTAGTAGTAGTAGTAGTAGTAGTAGTAGTAGTAGTAGTAGTAGTAGTAGTAGTAGTAGTAGTTACGTACGTGACGGTGTGTTGGTTGCGCAGGATTGGGAGGAAAAGCATGCGTTTTACAGTGTTTTCAGCTGACGGCAGGTGATTGGCAGAGTTCGTCTTATCTTGTTTTTTTCACATGGAAGACACTGAGCGGAGTTCAGCGCTGGGCTCAAGCGATGAAGCGGCCACTGGTTGAAGGGCGCAACCAAGGGCGCCAGGTGCACCGGCGCAGTGCCTGTAATGGGAAGGGTCACCGAGTGGAAACCTGCAAGAGTGCGGCAGCACAGGTTATCCGCTCGCTGAAGAAGCAGCCGGCGCAGGCTCGCGGACGTCGATGCTTCGGTCGACAGCTGCCGACGAAGAAGCAGCGTCCTACAGAGTTTCGCAAACTTTGCTTTTTTCAGGTGCCCTTCCCTCAGGGCAGATTCCGAGAGCTCTCCGCTGCCGACAAAGTCAAGTTCAGCCAGGTTTCCCGTGCCTTCCAGAGGGGTGCCAGCAACGAGGCTTACGGTGGCAAGCAGTGAAGCTGTCGGGAAGATGAGTTCCGACAAGTTTTGTTCTCTCAGCTGTTGGCATCACAGACTGCAGATATGCTGCAGCTCTCCTGGGTAGAATTTTTGTTCTCTGAGTTCTTAGCATCACGGAGCGAATTCAAGATGTCACGCCGGCTCCTCAGCTCTTAGCTGGACAGAGCGCAGCTGTCCTGCTCGTCAACATTCTTGGTTCTAGAGCGCAGGTAGCGGTACACGTGCTGTGCATTCTACGTGCTTCCAGACCTGTGCCCGCAGTGGAGCCTCGGAGTTGCTTCTGCTGGCAAAAGTGTGTCTGCGAGCGTGAGTCGAGTTTCCGGAAACCGAAACTGGCAAGGCGTACGGCGCAAGTACATGTAGCAAGAAGAAAAGAGGAAGGGGCACTGGAGCCTGGAATGTGCACGAAACCTAGGTTTTAGCACTAGGAATCCAAGGAAAATGCACCGTCGCGAATGGTACCGACGCCTAGTAGTAGTAGTAGTAGTAGTAGTAGTAGTAGTAGTAGTAGTAGTAGTAGTAGTAGTAGTAGTAGTAGTAGTAGTAGTAGAGAGAAGTAGAGTAGTAGAGTAGTAGAGTAGTAGAGTAGTAGTAGTAGTAGTAGTAGTAGTAGTAGTAGTAGTAGTAGTAGTAGTAGTAGTAGTAGTAGTAGTAGTAGTAGTAGTAGTAGTAGTAGTAGTAGTAGTAGTAGTAGTAGTAGTAGTAGTAGTAGTAGTAGTGAGTAGTAGTATTAGTCAGTAGTAGTAGTAGTAGTATAGTAGTAGTAGTAGTAGTAGTAGTAGTTGTTGTTCAGTAGTAGTAGTAGTAGTAGTAGTTAGTAGTAGTAGTAGTAGTAGTAGTAGTAGTAGTAGTAGTACTAGTACTAGTACTAGTACTAGTACTAGTACTAGTACAATACTAGTACTAGTACTAGTACTAGTACTAGTACTAGTACTAGTACTAGTAGTTAATAGTAGTAGTAGTAGTAGTTCTAGTAGTAGTTCTAGAAGTAGTAGTAGTAGTAGTAGTAGTAGTAGTAGTAGTAGTAGTAGTAGTCGTCGTAGTAGTAGTAGGAGTAGTTGTAGTAGTAGTAGTAGTAGTAGTAGTAGTAGTAGTAGTAGTAGTAGTAGTAGTAGTAGTAGTAGTAGTAGTAGTAGTAAGCACTCCGGGTCAGACAGGTCCCAGCAGAGGGACCCCAAATTTTTCTTTAGAAGTGATCGCATCCATGCCATGGAACTGTCAGCATGCGACACAAACCCTGTGCGCGAAGCCGTTTGCACCATTGAGGCACCTGAGGCTACCGATATTGGTAACTGCATGGCTGATCCACCATCAGATTCTGGCGCTCTCGAACTATGCACAAATGCCAAGCCTTTGGGTGCCGCATGGCCCCACACTAAGTCACTAAGGTACATGGCCTCAACAAGTGCCCTGCGTGGATCGGAGTCGCAACTGACCCATGCCCTGCACCTGCAACACAGTGCACCCAGCTGGAAGCCCGGCCCATGTCGGTCGGAGAACGCAAGCGTAGGCCTAAACGCAATCGCATCTCAGCACTCTGCAGTGATCTGGCGCGATTGTCCCTGCAAAGCGCCCAAAGACACATGATCGACAGTGGGACACACAACACCCCTATGTTCCGACATGCAACAAGCTCCTTGTGGATTTGCATGCCATGGTTTAAGAAGTGTGGTCTGGCCCCTGGTGCTGCATTGCGTTTTCGACCCATCATGCTTGCACAAGTTCCATTGTCTGCACCGTTGCCTGCGAACGGACAATGCCCCAAAAACCCTCAAAGCTATTCCATGTACCATATGCCCTGCCCCATCAGCGGACTTCCCAGGTGCGATCGGACACGAACCACACAATCACGCAGCTCGGACTCCACAGGACTGCCATCATGCTTTAGCGCCGCTTCTCAGTCCTATGGCCTGCTCTGCAAGTTTGATGCGCGTAAGCAGGGTGAGAATGTGCAGCTGCAATTGCTTCGGCAGCAGGGTGACAGTGCACTTTCACAGCACTTTGCATGCGCAGCTAGCAAGGCCCGAGACACCCCATCAGGAGGGGGAGAAGCAGCCCCGATCCCGATATCGTGCTGATGGTCGGCGTCGACGAACCGCTGGGGAGCTGAGGACGCGGGCCCCATATGTGCAATTCTGGAAAGATGTCCAGGCCAGACAAAGGCAGCAAGCTGAGAGTGCAGCGGGGGATTTGCCCTCCAGACGTCACCACGCTCAGCACTATCGCATACACACTGACGATGGCCGGCCAGCAGTCACAGCGTGATGAGCTGAGTGGGCAACCCTCCTCTTCAGAAGGTCTGAGTAGGGCAGGGAGAGCATCCGGCGGTTCAAGGGAGACCAGAGATGGCCCCTGGAAAACATGGGATGATGATGTAGGGACAGCAGCTGACCGTTGGCTGGCGCAAACCCCGCCGCCAACCCGCTACATCAGGCAGTGACTCCCACGACGACACTCCTGCTGAGCCCTCCTTGGCACGCCAACCGCGCAAGACGCGCAAGTCATCGTCGCCCCAGGCCAGCAAGAGATCTCGAAGCACGCAGGTCAGCGATGAGTTTGTGAGGCGGCAAACCGAGGTAGCGCCGAGCCAAGCGGCCCCTCCCGAGGAGTTGACCTGTTGGAGCACCCAACGCTCATCAACGCCTTTTACAGGTCAGGTG